GCATATGATCTCGAGCAGGGAGGTCACAGTGTCCCAGTTAACCTTGCCAAAAGCAGCTAAGCAAACATCACTGGCCTTGTAAACAGGTTATACCCCAACTAAACCTGCTACTTGCTTTGGGAGAGTGTCATGTCACAGCTGTCCTGACACCCCTGTTGCTACCTGGGCTTTTTGGGAAGCAGGCCCAGCATAGCACGGCCCCAGGCACCAGCTCCAAATAATACAGATACTAAACAGTAATTTCAGTGCTCCAGCTGAATCTGAAAGGGGAAATCAAGCCAACCGTGCTTGAAGAGTTAACCACAGCTCCCCCTTTCTTTGAAAACAGTGCTTGCCATCTAAGTCACTCCCAATCCTCTGCTAAAATAGTCTGGAAAGGAGTTACATCTTGCCTGAATTCCCCTTTTGCACATAAAATTATGATTTTTCATTATCCTTTCCAACATATCTCTTTCCTTCTGCATGCCTAGTTCCACAGTCACCCCTTCCTTCCCAGCACCTCCTTTTATTTCACCTCTTTTACCAATGGAGAAAACCCCCCCCAAAAAAGTAATGGGCAAAGTCCCTCTCGCGACAGGGCAAGCAGCATTTTGACAAACTTTACCCACTTCCCTACTCACAGCTGCAAACGAACCACAGACATCTATCTTGCATTTCTCCTCCTGGGGCACAGCATCCCAGCCCCTTCCTTTCTCACTTCTCCCACTTGTCTGGCACCCACGCCACAAATGCCAGCCAGTCACACGCACTCCCAGGCTGGCAAGGACTTAAAAAATTGACAGCTTTATGAGTATATGAGATCAGTCCTGCCTCTCTCAGCCAAAGCCAGCAGCATCCACCAAGGGAGGAAACACAGCCCCTGGCAGAAGGAAGAGACATGGTGGGTCAGATGCCTGCATGGATGATAAGCCTTTCCAAGCTAGAGGGCAAATTGGTGGGGCACGTGGGATTCGGGACAGTGTAGCTGGGGGGATGGAAACTTTAGGCTGTGACATAATATTGGCTGGTTATCTCATTTGCAATTAAAGGCAGGTATGCAGTGAGATAGGTGAACTGTCGGCAGTTCCTCAAGCCCTTGAAGATGTTCCAGAGCGGACACTCAAAAAAAAATCTGAAGTTGGGCTGCCCTGCCTTCAGGCTGGCAGACAATAGTCCATAATATTTGCAGAGGGAAATAAAGCTGTTGTTTGCACATGCACCCTGCAAGCAACTCATGCAAATCCTCCGGTGCTGCTCGCTGTCTCCTACCTCACTGGTAAGCATCGCATCCCAAGAACCACAAGGTGTCCTCAGGACAGCGCACAGATCCCAAGTACCCTGCAATCCAGCACCTCCCACCCTGACTTACTTCTTCACACTGTACCTATTGGTTTTGTATCATTGCACCTTAAGTATTGGTTTTGCCTTGTTTCACACTTCACTTAGATGCTTAGTTCAGACCATAATTATGCTTTGCAGATGGTTAAAGAACCTCTGCTTCTGAGTACAGAAGTACTCCCCAGGCCGTATTGTAATTGTCTAGGAAACACTGCCTGCCTGCCATGACTTCTAGGTGTAGCTTTGCTAATTGAGCTCCTCGTAGCTGGGTAGATGCATCGCCTCATCTCTAACGTGCAGTAACCGCAAATCAAGTAGTGAGGCTGCACTTGGGGATAATTAGAATATAAAGCACCAGAGAGTTTTCTCCATGGCACCTCCTCCAAAGAGGGAAAAAAAAAAGACTGTTTTGTTCATCCCTGACTGCAGTGGGGAGCTGCTGCTTTCTTCCCAACAGGCTCCCAGCGGATCCATTCCCCCTTCCGTGACACAGCATGCAGAGCAAATTGAAATTAGACACGCTACGTGGCAAGCAGTCATGTCTCCTAACTACAACAGGATCAAAGGTAGCTATAATCCCAACAAGGTGGGTTAGACTCAGCTAATGAATGCTCTGGGGAAGAAATCTGGCCAGATTTGGATGGCTTGATAGAGAGCAAGCACAGCTCTCAAGGCTGGAGACACAGATTGGGACTGATCCAACTCTTCTCAGGGAAAATCACTGAAGCCCAGGTGGGGTCAGGAATGAAAACCAGATGAGAGAGGAAGGAAAGCACTGGAGGATGGTGTTCTACCTTCTTTCTCACCTCCCTCCACAGTTCTTGGCCCTGTAATCTCCATGTAATTTAGCACTGCCTTCTGGAAGAGAGAACCACTCTTGCTTTTCAGATGGCTTGTTGCTTCTAAAGTGAAGCCTCTTTGAGGCATCTTTAGGCTCCTGGATTTTATGCTTGGCAGCCCTGGAAGGGCATGGGATGGCATTGGCACAGCTGAGACTATGGATCTAGCTCCAGTAGTGTGTGCAAAGATTTCCCATTCACTGCTGGCTACATCAAGCTACAACAGCTCCAGCCCCAACATCCACATACTTGCCAACAAAGAGAGCTCCTATTGCTTCGTATGGAGAAAGGAGAGTTAAAAGAACTGTGTAGCAAAAGCAGCCTAAAATACATACATACTCTTATCCCCCAGATTTATCCTGTGTTTTTTATGGGCTTGCAGAGCTGTGAGGACTTCACGTACCGGTATGGATTGGTTTCACCAAGAGCAGCAAGGGGTTATAAGTGCTCTCCTATAAGCATCTAGAAGCTCAACCTTCTGCTTTACGTCCTTTCCAGTGCCTACGGGGCATCTCCTGGGAACTGCAAGGGAGCTCGTTGTGGAGAAGCTCTCACTGTGACCCCAATGGCTGGATTTTCCAAGCAGGCAACCAAAACACCAGTCCTCTGCAGTTTTGCTGGAGTTAATTAAGCAGCAGCTGCTCCACCACATTGTTCCCCACGTACGCCCTGTTCTGAGCTGGCTTGGTCAATATTGGCTCCTGTCTTACTGAGCAGGGTGGTAACTTGTTTTTCTAGTACAGCAAAGTAATCACTTACCACGTCGGTGGCAGCATGGTGTGTGAATGCTCTCAGAGGGTTCTGAAGGACCTACTTTTACACTGTTTCTGAAGGTATGAATTTTGTTTAAATTGCCCAGTGTTGAGTCAGGCACGTGGGAGGAGCTGGGAAGGGGATCCTCGTGGTTTTGTAGGGAAATACAATGATGTCCCCAGCCTGCAGGACCCTAGCAGGGCTGTTGGTGCTCTAGTAGGGCAGCTGAGCTCCTCCTGGGGTTGCCTCTCATGGGGCTGCTTTTAGATGGGGGCTTGGGAAAAGAGCAGGGTGAGATGTTTTCTGCTGCTGGTGGAGTTGGAAATGTGTGTGTGTGGGAGTGCCTGGTCTGCTGTAGGCTGTCATTCACAGGACAGGGGATGAGTGGCAGCCCGGTTTAGACGACTGGGCCATGGGGAGGACAGGGAGATGCACATGCAGTGTCAAGCCTGCCCTGCCCCTGCTGTGTGACAGCAGAGAAGTTGCTCACGTTAGTGCATTAGTCTGGCTCGTTGGCAATGCTGAGGCAGCAGCATTTGCTTTGTCTTTAAGCATCTCTCTTTATGCCAGACCCATTGCAAGGGGAAGCTGACTTCAGCCAAGGACCCTGAGTGCTGGGCTAGGTGTGATGGTCACAGGGGGGTTCAGCTCCACTGTGTGCTCTTATTTAAATATCTGCTATGTCCTTCAGTTCTTAAAAGTAACTTCTCTCAGGTGAATGACAGCTAATTAACAAGTTTGTTTGAAAAATCCCACACAGAACTCGGTGATGATTAACAACATCAGGAGGCTTTTCTAGGACAAGCCAGTCAGTGCTTGGGTCTCCTGTCCCTCCCTTGCTCACTCATGCCCTTACAGGGGAGCAGGCAAGACTCCTCTGCCTTCACGAAGTTATTGCAGGAGGACATCAGGGTCTAGTTGGTAACACCAAGGTGTCCTTGCCTCACAGATTCTCCTGTCCTCATGAGAGCCCACTCTGCACCATCAGAAAAGCGCTGTTCCCCTCTCTGACACAACAGTACCCTTGGCTCAATTACTATTTCCCTTCCCCAAGGCAGACATCCAATACTTCAAACCCAACAAGCCATATCCAGTGAACCAGACAGACTTGGCCCTTGGTAGTAAAATCTCATGGTTTCAGGGAAGAGCAGGATAAGGCTCAGGGAAAGGGAATGCATTTGGGAAGAGATCTGGAGCAGTTTCTGTAGGAGAAATGGCTGGCGAGGACTACCCAGCATGAGAAAGGTTGGCTGAGGGACAAGAGAAACGTCTGTCATCAGGACTGTCTGGAGACAATGAACTGGAGAATGGCTTTCTGCTGTTCTCTTTCCAGTTCAGCATCTAAGCAACAACAAACTAAACCATCATGTGAGAAATCAGCTAACTAAAGGAACTGGTTCTTGTGTTGGGTGGGAGAACTTCTTGGTAGAGGATACTGTGGAAGCTAGCATCTGACAACACTTAAAAAGGCAATTGGATGAATAAATAGAAATAAAAAAAAATCCACTGAGGCTTATCAGAAGCAAGTGAGGCCCTTAGCTGCATTAGCTGCATACTGGAGGAAGATGGAGGAATGTTGTGGGGGAAAGTATCATTGGGTGCTTACCCCAGTCTTATGCTGTCCCCGAGCATCTGCTGTCAGGCATTGTCAGAAGGCAATAAGCAGAAGAGCAAGTAACCAGGAGGCAGCCAGCAGTTGTGAAGTAGTGACACATGGAGGGGAAGGAAGCAGGCTGAAAAAAATTTGTGAGAAAATCACAGGTGCATCACATTTCTAGTGGCCTTTCATCTGGGAAGACCATAAGCTGCTTTGTGAATTGCTCCGGACAAAAGCAGGGCAATCCAGCAGATGCCTGTCTGTGTGGCAATGACGAGAGCAGACTGTGATAATGTGATACTGATCCTGTGAGCACAAGCCATTAAAATAACATTACTGATGTGTCCTTATGAGGGCAACAGGACTAATTCTGGATGAGTCTGAGCTGCAGCTCACCTGTGAATACAGACCTTTCCTGCTTGGCTAGTGCAATGTGGAGGGGTAATACTAGCAATGCTGAGCCCTTCCTTCTCTCTCTCTCAGAGGAGCAAGACATGATACAGAAGAGGTCTGTCATGCTCGACTTGCACAGCTTACAGATGCCCTTTTCCAACACCTGGAAGTATGGGATCTTGGCACTAGCCATCCTCTTGCTCCTGGTGGCCCTAACCATCTTAACTTGCCAGATATGTCAGCTCCAGAAACGCAACAGGACTAGAAAAAGTAAGTTTTGGGCAACTGTGCTCAGCAAACACCGTCAGCCTGTGTTTCTGCTAACCTTTCCTCTCAACAAGCATCTTCCACTCTGGACCAAACACAGGAGCTAAGCAATGTCCTCAGTTTTTATGCTTCCAGCTGCCACCATTTCTGTCATAGTCACTCTGTGGCAAGCTGCATGTCCAAGATGTCCATTACCTGATTCGAAACAGGTAAGAGAGCAGGTTCCTTTTGTTTAAATGAAATTGGCTCTGTGTGCATGAAGACAAGAGGTGGGAAACTGGGGCAGGTAACCTCTCCTGGTTGTTACTTGCAAGGGGAAGAAACGAGGCACATGTTACAGGATCCCCTAAACATGTCCTGCTCATACAGTCATTGCAGCCTTGCTACAAGCCAGATTCTTCTTCACCAGGCCAGACACATAAGCACAGCTTCCTCTGTCCTACTTCTCTTGTCCAGAAGCATCAGGTCTGAGTGCCATCTGAGCACAGCTTGCTAACTGTTCCAAAATGCATTTATTGCAAGCAGGTCACAAGGCTGTCCCAGAAAGTCTAAATCATGTGGTATTCACACCAGGTGGTCAGTGTCAGCACCCGCATGACAGCAATTAACACTGGACCCTTCCACAGATCCACTAACAAGGTCTTACTGGTGACACCACTGTCCCTGCAGGAAGAGAGGTTGAGTGAGGCCACAGGGTCCACCGTCCTTCTATCCAAGACCAAAGTGCTGGGGGAAGAAACACTTCTCACTGAACTGGGATCTTTCCCAGCTGGACTAACCCTTCCCTCTATGCACCAACTAAAGCAAATTTAAGTGTAAAACTGTCTGACAGCAATGTCTTCATCCACTGCACTAATTTTTGGGGTACACTAGCTAAACATTCTGCTTTCCAGAGGGAGGATTCCCAGTGATTTTTAAACTCAGGGCCCTCTAAAGGCTTTCACAAAGTACCACATAAAAATCCCACTCCAAGACTCTCATCATCATTGCCAAACGTCATCATCTCCAAGCTGGATAGCACTTACTCAGCTTTTCTTTATTCCCACAGAGAAGAGATGCCCCAGCCGAGGCTGGGTTAGAATGAAGGCAGTGAATGGCATTTGGAGGAAGAAAACACCAGCTCTTCTGCATGACACTACCAAGCAGAGCAATGCAGATATCAAGGCAAGTACACTGATGCTAGGGCCAATTCAAGAGCCATCCTCATTTTCAGAAACCCCCCAGGGTCAAGAGGTAGACTGACTGACAGTCCAGTAGAAAGCAAGACCCAAAAACCTGTGGCAAGAAAACACAGAAAGAGAGAGAGAGACAGACTCTGGCTGAAAGGGAGGGAGAGACAAAGTATAATAGAATAGAATAATCTATATAAAATAAAATATTGCTCTTTCACTTAAAGAGAAACTCTTTTTCTGTGGCAGCAGAGCCACACGTCTACTCATCCCTGTTTCCCTGACAGGACTAGGCAGTCAGATACACACAACAGGGAAGGGGGGAGCACAGCACTGATGCATCAGGTCAGCAGCCAGCCCCACTGCCGTGATTTTACAGGTACTTTAGCCCACCCACAGCACCTGTGCACTCAGTTCCCATCCTCCATTGCCACCCCCAGCCTCCCAGCAGGTACTAGAGGTAGCCTGGGCAGGTTCTGGATGGCAAATTCAGATTTTGACTGCTCATAAACAGGGCTGCTGGGAAGCCTCAGCTCTTCAGGCTGCAAGCAGAACACAGCAGACCGGTATGGCAGTGTGCCATGGGGACCTTTGCTACTGTCCCCAGGTGCCTTAAGGAGAGTGGCAGAGCTTACGAAGCCCATTGCTGAGGGAAGTGAAAACACAGGAGGAGCAATTCCTGGGGAAACTCTTGCAAAAACTCCCCTCTCACTTGATCAAAAGCTGGACTTCTACTTGCTTCTCCTTTATCCATCTCTTTTTTTTTTTTTTTTTTTTTTCTGAAAAAGAAGCAATTGCGAGCCTTTCCCACCCCCTCTCCCTTCCCCATGACCGAAGACATCCAGTTTACCTCTCCACCTCCAGCCCACATCTCCGTTACTGGATGCGGTTTCCAGTGAAATGAATTCCTCAAGTTCCTGGTGACCTTCCTGCAGCTGGCCGAGCTCGCTGAGAGAGCAGGAAGCCCAGGCACGCAGCACCGTGACGGGGGGAGAGAGGAGCCAGCACCAGAATACCACTGGCAGCTGCTAAGGGCAAAATGGCTATTAGAAGGTTGCAGCTGCTCCTCTCTAATTAAGAGAAGAGCCAATGCCAGCAAGAAAAGCAGGGTGAGGGAGGGCCAGGGAGGGGGAAGGCTGAAAGGCAGCCTGTCCTGCATGACCAGGGGCGAGCAAAGCAGCTGCTTTGGTGTGGTTGCCTTCCCCCTGGCAGCACAGCTGTTGGGCTCTGCTGTGCCTTTCACCCACGGTCCAGCCCGAGCTTATGGGGGGGTCCCGAAGGAGGCCAGGCTCCTTCCAGCTCTCTCTTCCTCGTGAGCTGAACCAGGGCTAGGCATCTTTGTCAGGAAGTGTAGTGACAGGAAAAGGGGTAATGGTTTTAAATTGGAATAGGGGAGATTTAGATTAGATATTAGGAAGAAATTCTTTACTGTGAGGGTGGTGAGACACTGGAACAGGTTGCCCAGAGAAGTTGTGGATGCCCCATCCCTGGAAGTGTTCAAGGCCACGCTGGATGGGGCTTTGAGCAACCTGGTCTAGTGGAGGTGTCCCTGTCCATGGCAGGGGGGTTGGAACCTGATGATCTTTGAGGTCCCTTCCAACCCAAACCATTCTATGATTTGAGCTGTGCCAGAGAGCTGATGTGCCAGGAGAGGGGAGTGTGTGGGGTGCTGGTGGTACCACACAAGCCCTGATGGGCCCTTTGGCTCTACTGCAAAAGCACCAGGTCTAAACACACCTTCTTCTTTTCTTACTGTTGTAGAAACAGGAGGGGAGTTCAACACTACCAGACTATAAAAGACTCATATCTCTCTTTTCATCTTGTCCTCATTTTTTCTTAGGTGGAGGAGTTACAAGCTGAGCTGGGTGAGCCGTCTACCTGCCTCATCTCCTCCTCCAGTAGGACTGAGGACCTCAGCAGCATGAGCAGTGATTTGGGGCCCCTGCCTGGCTCCCAGGGAACACTGAAGTTCTCTCTCCTCTACTGCAAAGAGCGATGTGAGCTGCTTTTGACTGGGCTGGAGGCCTGGGGGCTGCCTAGGCATGGGTGTGCTGAGTCCGCCATCCGGGTCCGACTGCTGAGGCAGGTCCCATCACACATCCCTGGGCTCCAGTGCGTGGTCCAGGAGTGGCAAAGTCAGGTGGTGAAGAACTGCAGCAGTCCAGCCTTTGGGGACCACTTTGTCTTTTCCCTGCAGGATGCTGAGGTGGAGAAGAGCACCCTGAAGTTGGAGGTGAGACAGGGCACTAGCTCAGTAGACATTAAGAAGAGTGCCTCGACCAGAGGAGATATGTGTAATGGCTTCTGGAGATATCTCCTTCTCTTACCCCGTTAAGGAACATAGAGGGAGCTAGTCACCAGGTTCTCTCAGGGTACAGCCAGCCAGGTCCTTTGGCAACACAAGACCAATTTTCCGATTACCAGCAGCAGCAGCCAGAAGTGTGAGAAAGTCTAGAGCCCCTAAAACACTTTCACTTTCAAAGGGGTGCCCTACTAATTTCTTGGGTGTTTTATTTTGGGGCTCTGCAGTATTTATGTAGGGGGGAAATTGATTTCCCTGAAATCTGTGTTTCCTGGTGCTCTGTGTTGTCCTGTCCTTCGCCACAGGCACTCCCCATGGAAATGTGCTTGGATGCACCATCCTGCAGCAGGAGAAACTGGGGGCTGGGGTAAATGAATGGCCCTGCAGTGAGTGAGCCGAGGGCTATCACACAGTGCAGGGAGAGCAGAGCTAGCTCTAATGGTGACAACATGGTGAGCAGAAGCAGCCTAGAGCTACTGTTAGCCTCTTTTCCCTAATTCTTTGTTACTCTTGCTTGACTGCTTATGAGTTGTCTCATTTAAAGCTAGTTTGGGTCTAGTTGCAGATGTAACACTGCAGATGTACCTGTGGATGCCCAGGGGTTTTAACAGATAGCAACCTCGGCAACAGATAGCTGTCAGACCTTCTCTAGGCTGCGATGGATTTGAAATGTATGCTGAGGGGACATCAGTGAAGACATTACTGGTGAAACCCAGAGCAGACGGGTCATTTCCCAACCAACTATTCCCTGCGAATGATCTTCAGACACCACAAGCCAGCACTAAGAAAGGGCATGAAGCTGAAGTCTTTGTACTTAGAACCCTCTGCCACATTACACCATGGTGCCCAAGACCTCAGCTGGAGGCAGAGGGAAGGGGATCACCCAGAAATATGGAGTTGCACCAACAGCAGGATAAAGATAAATCAGTAGTGTGAGCTGGTACAAACTCACCAGTCTCGAAGTGTTAGCTAGAGGTGTAATCAGCCAGGGTTAGTGGCTTTCCCAGGTGCATGTAATCCTTAAATGGTCTCTGGCAGGTTTCGCTCCCTCCCAGGCACAGCCAGCAATAGCTATTTCAAAAGACATCAGTGGACTAGGTGGCTTGTAGGTCTGAACCTGGATGGTGGTTCCCAAATGTTGCTACAGACAAGTGTGCAGTTGCACATTACTTCAAAGCCCCTTTAGTTTGACCATTAGGTGTTGCTGTTTCTGCAAGCAGCAAAGCCAGGGAGCTTCGGCCAGACGTGGGAGATGGCCGCATCCTGGAGAAACAGCTGTGGAGGAGGGACACAAAGAAGAGGCTGAAGCCATGTGTGAGCACGTGTAGTGACAGCCCCAAGCTGCCATGAAGCAAGTGTGGGCAGCTGGCAGGGGACATGCCCTTGTGCAAGGGGATTCCAGCACCCTCCTGGCAGGGAGCAAACCTTGCATGGAGCAAGGGCAGGACTCAGCAAGATCAGAGGGGCCATGACCTCCACACATGTCCTGTGGGACAGGACAGGCTTCACACAGCCTGTTCAAGCTGGTCTGAGAAAGGGGACAGGGCAAGGTAATGCCACTTGATGCTACAGTAGGCAGATATTCAAGAGTAGTAGGGTGTTAGCAGAGGTGGAAGCATAGCAGAAGAGATTTTTCAGGTGATACCACTGAAATAAAGCATCTGCATTTTACTCCTTGGCATGGGCCTTCTTTGCTGTCATGACAGCCCAATCCTGACACCCCAAAAAGCCCATGGGTGAGAATGGAAACACATTAAAATAGAATCTAAAGGTAGGAAGCTCCCCTTGAAGGAGGTTCAGGTGTGGACCGTGTGGATGCACTTGTGGCACAGCTCAATCGTGCACCTCACGCCCACGGACACGCTTTTTCTCTCTCTCCCACAGGTTCAACGATTTGACAAATACTCCAGAAATGCTGTGCTGGGGGAAGTCAGGGTCACCCTGAGCGAGCTAAAGGCCTCCCAGAGTTTGGTTTTATGTAAAGAGCTGCAGAAGACTACAAAGGTGATGACTTTATCTCATGGCCTTGCCTTGCATGCCCACGCAGTGGCCAGGGAACTGCATGTCAATACAGCCATCCCTTCATTTTACTAATGAAAAATCCCCACCCCACATCCTTGGGGACCTTCTGTGTAATATACACGGTAGCAGATCCCTTCTGCTCCCAGCACACTTCTCAGGGAGGATCTGCAGGAAGACAGGGCTTTACAGGGATGGAGCTTGAAAATGCATCTTGGAGGTGAGATCTCCGAGGAAAGATGAAAGCATATTGGATTACCAAGCTTATGTTGCAGCACCTTCCCCACCCACAGAGACAAGAGTTCACTGTGCATTACACTGGTGGCCATTTGGTTTGTTTAAAGAGACTAATGGCCCAAAGTGAAGATAAATGATGTGTTCCAATAAGGGACTAATAGCAATTTTAAAATGTTAGAGATGTATTTTAAGTGGTTGCTAATGAGAGTCACGTATTTTATAACAGACAAGTGGCATCTCAAGTCCAGCAACCTGAGAAATTTGTTTGTAAAAGACTTCTACTTATTCCTTATACATGGGAAGTTGATATAAAATGGGAGCAACTTGAATTTAATTCCAGACCTGGCTCTCATAGTACCCTAACATGGTAAAGTCTACAGCCTGTGGGGTTTCCTGTGTCCCTCCAGAAAAAAATACCATGGTGCTGTAAGACTTAGTGTTTAGTACCGTAAAATTGGCACAGATGCATCTGGATGTAGTCTCTTTTGTACTACCTCATGCAGTCATGTGATAGGACTCAAATCCCAGAAGATACTCTTACATCCAGGTTCTCCAGACACAGGAGAACAGGAGCTTTTCCATTCCTGTCTAGGAGAAAGGGAAACTGCCACACTGAACAAATAAAGAGGGGGTGCTAGCAATTGTTAAAAAGTTAAAAAGCTAAAATTCAGTCTCAAGAAAAACACTGAAGGGCAGTATATAGCCAGTATGCTGTGGTGGCCCTTCAGTCTCTGTTGCTGAGGCTTCAAGAGCACACACATGAGCTGCAGGAAGGTTGATGGGTGGCCTTGGTGGCTGCAGAGATTGTTGCACCAGATGTCTGCTTACCACACACCCTTGTGCCTTTCACAGGACATTGTGGGAGAAGTTCTCGTGTCGCTCAAGTGCCTCCCCATCTCTCAGAGGATAGAGGTCGGGCTGCTCAAGGCAAAAACTACATCCCCTGGAAGCACTGCAGAGAAGAGTAAGGGCTTTATATCTGCTATTGTTGCTGCTCCAGTCTTTATTCTGCTTCCTGCTACCTTTATCTTACCCACCCAGAGGGCTGGGGAGGTGATGGAGAGAAAGGCCCCTTGCATGCCCATCGCACCCCAACTGCTGCTGCTGAATCAGACCACGAATCTGTCCAGCCTTGTGACTGTCTCTGACAGAGGACAAAGTAGCATGGAAAGCAGAGAGGCGTAAGTGATACTCCCCCTCTGTACTCACCCTGCCTCTTCCAAGTCACAGCTTAGAGATTTCTTGGGCTGGGGGTGGCTTCTGCGTGTTTAGAAATCCCCAATGGATTTCTCCTCCCTGCATTCTTGCTGTCTCCCGTTTATCCCATGCTACTAACATCAACATCCACAGCACCCTGTGGCAGGGACTGCCACACCAAACTACGCTTCTGTGAAGTCCACACACTTGCGAGGGTTGATCTTGCTGCCTCCATCTGCTGCTCACAAGAAAGTTGCTGCATTGCCATGACCTGATGCACAGTCCCCAGCTCATTTCAGCAAGGTGGCCATCTGATGTTAGATCCCACGAGTTTTGACACAGGAGCTGCTTTTGTTGGCTCATCACACTAATGAAACGCCCAGCTACTTCTCTCAGACAATCCTTTCCACTCCTCTTCCCTCTGTCGCAGGGCTTGAATCCCATTTCTCTGCTCTCCAGAGACCTGAATACCAAACTTCATCACAGTCCTGTTGTCCTCATTATAGAGCCAATTTGGTTTTCCTCTTGAGGTTAGCCTGCGGTGGGGACAGTGCAGAGATGCACACTGCTCCTTGGGGATGTAACCAGAGCATCACTATCATCCTTCAGTCTCCACTGATGAGATGGCCCTCTGAGGCCATGGACACTTGAGAGCAGCATTAGAGATACTCTGCATTGCAGATAAGCTGTAGACAGCTCCCTACCCTGAGAAGGCTGAGGTAGGATGACCTTTTTCTCCTGTAACCCAACATTTGATGCACAACACAACAACGTTTCAAATTTTGGGCCCTTGCCTTATGTGTGTTTCTCCCCTGCACCACCCAACTAGTTGGAGGAACGGAGGCAGGGGAAGATCCAGCCACTTTCCTCCAGTAGTGCTCAGCACACAAGCAGTGAGAAGGTAGGCAGTCCTCTTGCTCGCACTGCAAGCACCAGAAGTGCAGCAGACTTTGAATTCTTGAGCTGGTCTCTTCTGGGCTGAACTCTTCCTGCAGCTTTAAACACTCATAAGATCTTCTCATCTGTACCTCTAAAGCCACTGTTTTCTGTTTCACTAATTAAATACAGGCAAAGGAACTGCAAAGGCTCCTCTCTGTTGTTTCTTTCTGAGCTTTGCTGCAGGTGTTGGATTTAGCATAAGTACTTACAGAGCTGGCAGGAGTAAGTCCTTTCCTCCCTCACCCTGTCTCTACTAACTTCAGAGCTTGTTCCACAACTACAGAGCCTACTCTGAAGTACTTCTTGTTAAATCACGCTCTACAGTTATAGGATGGTGATGTCCTACTAGCTATGTACCTACCAAGGTGTGGTTGCCTCGGCCAAGTGGTCTGAGTTCCAGCAGTACTGAAGCCAGCACAAGCTTTGTTACTAGCTTTGAGAAATGTAGGATCAAGCCTGAATAGTTGCAATATTCAGCTCGAAATCAAAACACAGCCCTTTTCCAGCATGACTACCTTACACTTTATTATGTCTATATTTGAAATGCTCTGAAACAAAGATAAATACCCCAATGTTTCATTTCTCCTTTCTCTTCCCATCCCAGATGTATACGCAAGGATAGATGTTTCCTGGAGACGCCACAAAGAAAAGCACCAGAAGTCCAGGCCACGGGCCCACACGCCACTCATCATCTTCAATGAGACTTTCCTCTTCCACATGCCTGAGCCTCTAGCATGGGACTGTACGGTCCTGGTCTCCATTTATGAAGTGGACTCAGATTCCAGGCATCTCGTTGGACAGGCCACGCTGGGGAAGAGAAGAGCGAAGGAAGCAGCTGAGCACTGGGACCTCATGGTAAAGTCCATCCAGCAGCCTGTAGCTAAATGGCATCCTCTGCTCATTTAGAGGGGAAGGTCTTCTGTAGCAGTTGCATGTGGTGAATCTGTTTTCTGTCATGAAGACAAGACAAGGCAGTGCTCACAGTGGGTATACCTAAGAAAAGACGGATCAGAGCCTGAAATTCATGCTGCCTAAGACAAGAACAGAGGTATCAAACTTTTGCTTTCTCCCACTCCTTGTTGCTGCTTCATCTTTGCTGATCCCACGTGATCTTTATAATAGGAGCAGGGTTCCAGCAGCACCTTGAGCTGGAGGAGGTTTGTACCTATGAAAGAAAGTAGAGCTTTCTCTGCTCACTATGAATAGACAAGAGGAAAAAGGGATGGGAAGGAACAGGAGTCAATGACCCTATTTACAAGATATAAAAGTACTAAAAGGTTAGTTGATTTGCTTAAGCTGAAACAAGAAATGTAACTGGGAGCTTGAATTTCTATTGAGGTCCTTTCCAGCACTTCAGAAAGCCATCACCATTTCTTACCTAGTAATGTCCCAGGCTGGGCTTATTAGGACTTTCAAGTTTGTTACCACCAGAGTGAAAACAGAGCCCCTGGGGCTATTGGAGTGAAGCTCTGGGTGTGAGCACCACTGTGTTTGCACAGGACGGGCTGCTAATGGGAAAGTACCACCCATCCCTACTCCGAGATGCCAGCCAGAGGCTTTCATTAGCAGTACAGCCATCCCAAAACTGAACACAGACACCTCTCACCATACTGTGGGAACGATGGTGATGTGTCTTCTCTGACACCTCGGTGCAGAGGCAACTTCTCATATCACTTGGGAAGAGACATCTCCCACCAGGGAGGGATGCTGCTCCCTGCACCCAGGAGGGTGGCTGCTGCACTGGAAGGGCAAGGACCCGACAGCATTGCCAAGGTGACCACAGCTGCAGGGCTCTGCCCTGTCTCCATGTCTGGACACAGGGAACACCAAAGCGAGACACATCAGCCATGTGCCCACCTCACATCATACTTCTGCCATAGGAAACTCTGATGGAGGCTGGAGAAGGGCTGGAGCTGGAACTGCCTTCCCACCCTCCTCCTCTCCTCTCCAGCTGGATCTAATGACTCAAGCGTGTCCTGCATCTAGTATACCTGCTGACGTTTTTACCACCATTCATTCTAATAAATGTGGATTTTCTTGCTGTCCATATCCATTTAGTCTTTTTCTGAATCTTGATGTATTTTCCCCTTTGGGAATTCCTGGGCCATGTTCACTGCATGTCGTAGGGGAAAATAAATTACAGAAACAAAGACTTTTTTGCAGCTTAAAATTTCCTTTCACCTGTGTCCCTGGTCTGATAAGAGAGATCCTTTTGTCATTTCCTATACTCCCAGCATGTCTTCCGATTGATTTCCCAGGCTTTCAAAGTGGTAAATTTCCTCACATAAGAGCCATCCTCTGCCTCGCTTGCAGGCAGGTGTGAGTCAGAACTCCAGTTTCCCTTTGTTTTACATTTTTTCTTAGTGGCACTGCTTAAGAATCTTGTTCCCTGCCCCAGTCACAAGACATGTAAGGTCTCACCTTCTGAGAAATCTTTTAAATGTGTGGATGGGTTTTGCATAGAGTATCACCTAAATAAAGAAAGATTTAGGTCACGTAGGCTTATGTTGGTGTGGGAAGCAAGTGAAAGGAGGCCAGCAGAAAAGGGTAGGGAGGAGGAGGTGCTGGTGTTGAAATGGGTACTCCTGCAGTCATACCCACCTTTGCACAGCTCCTCTTGTCTTTACTTGCCCCACAAACTGTCTTGGGTTGCAAGACAGATCTGATCCCCTGGTCCTTGAAGGCAGGAAGGATGAAGCTTGGAGGAAGAAGCTGGAGGAAGGCTGTGACACACTGCAGGCGGGCGGCGATGTTCCAGTTGGGATGAGGTATCCCAGAGAGGCCAGTATCCAACCAGTCAAGGTGCAAAGCCCAGGTAGGTCATTGGGAGCAGATGATGACTCAGAGGTGCTTGCAGGGCAGGACGTGGACAGGATAGTGACTCCTGGGTGGAGCTGCAAGGAGATAACAGAAAGGAATTGGAGGTATTCTCATTCTCTGTCCTCCCCTCCCTGCAGAGAGAGGCCAAGCATGGTTTGGTTGGCTTTGGGGTCTCCTTCCTTTCATTCATGACCATCCTTAGCCATTCCAGGCTTTGATCTCCAAAGTTGTCCGGACAGCAGCAGCAACAGCATCCCCTTCCTTACACAGGGTGCCCGTTGCCCTGATTGCTACTGCTCCTGAGGCGGAGGCTTTCTCTGGGTTTTTTGGGGATGTGCCTCTCACTCATGTCTTCTACAGTGGACAATTTTCCTCTCCCAAACACCATATATTGAATATCACTTGAAGTCAATCAGGCCCTTCACTCTGCTGCCTTCCCATGAGAGCACGTGGGCAGCAGATCTGACTCCAGATGGAGCCAAGCAATGCTGAGTCAAGGAAGAAAAGGCTGGCTAATAAATAAATGTATATTATTTATATAAAAATAGATACGTTATAATATATAATAATAAATTAATCCATGCAAAATATTTAAATAAATAAATAAATATGTACAGGAGTACAGACAGGTGGGCAAATGAATAAAGTACTGTCAAACCACAGAGCTATAACCTTCATTTCCTCCTCATGGAGATTTCCCCATCTCAAGGCAACCGTGCAGAGAAGAAACCAGCCTCTGGCTCACAGGTGAACACGCTGCTCAGGAGACAGTTATTCCACCCTCAATATAATGAGTCAGTGTGTTTATACAGTTAAACTATTAAGATACTTTTATCCCTCAAACTCTCAAAGCTTCTCTAATTAGCCCCCGGCAACTTCAGGTTTGGCACTGTTGACATGAATCAGAGACTCATTTCTGTGCAATTGCTTGTCCTGGTTGTTGGCCACGTTTGACTGGTTTGGGTGTGCCTGGGGTAGCCCTGGAAGTCAGCTGCAGGCTCCAGTCCTGAGGCAGCTTCTCCTGCCCACCTGCAGCAACCACAGGTGATGGTGTTCTTGGCATGGTAAAGCAAAAGGCCCTACTGAAGCAGCAGAAAGCATTTCGGGGACCCACCTCAGTGTCCCAGGAAACACATGGTGATTGGGAAGAGCCCGAAGGTGGCACCAATACAGAACAGAAACGTGAAGGCTCTGGCATTTGATCTGGGTGGCTTCAGCAAGAGGTCTTAATTACCTGGGATTATTCCTTGTTTTTTCCGGGGTTTGGCCTTTCTCTTCCGAGCTCCTCTGCTGGCCTGTAGTGCCAGGCTGTCATGCAGGCACCGGCAGATCTACATCAAAACAATGTGCAGCTGCTTTGCTGGAGCCAGGTGGGTTTGATGCAGCACAGGATCCTAGGGTCTGGCCCAGAGGGCCCAGTGCAAGTTCAGCCTAGGACCAGCAGCAGCCCCCAGCATCACTGGGTTTTTCCCCCATGGGCATCATGCACTGCAATGAAGACAAGCTCTCCCCTACACACGGCTGGGATGGTGGGGCTGAAGAAGGGGGATTTCTCTCCTTGAGCCCAGAGGAGTTTGCAGTTGAGGACAGCCGTGTCAGGCACATGGTTGTGGGCACAGAGCTGCAGTTCTCTTGTGTTGCACGGGGGAGTGGGAGTGGGCAGATGAGGAACCAGGATATAGTCCTCCCCTCCATGCATAGCTCCTGTAGTGCCAGTGGGACAACAGTGTCACACACTTTGTTTTTCTGTTACAAACAGGCCTGGAGGCACCTTCTTTAATTAATGTTTGGGTAGTCCTAGAAAAACACCATGTAAATGCACTTGAAGCAACACATCCAGCTCAAGCACACCCGGACACCAAAGCACTCAGGTCCCATTTGGTTTACACTCAGAGCCGGACACGTTAGATCTCCCCAGGCTATGGCTGATCTGAGCTCTGGAGACAATCTGGGGGCCCGACCAGTTCAGCATTTAGTTTCCAGTCCTCTCAGCCCCAGTTTCCAGTGCTATGCTGCCATTGAGCTGGTGGGAAGGACACTGAAGGAGTCAGGCTGTGCCACTGAACACTTGGAGAGCTCTGGCATCCCAGTCTTGGTCCCACCAGGAGAGTCCACAACCAGGGCTCAGCAGGTGGGAGTAAAAATTCAGATGATCACGAATTCGCTCCCATTGAACGGCACCTTCCTTCAGCCCCTGGCCAGGCAAAAACCATTTTGGAGGTGCTGGCAGCCTGCCCCAGGCACACGTGTGCAGGGCTGAGCAGCCTCTGGTCGATTCAGCTTGTTAATCTGCCCACACATGCCACATGCCCAGGAGCTCCCAGCTGCTTTGGTGCCTGGCAAACCTCCTGCGTGCACCCTTCCCTCCCTCCTCCTCCTCTCTAAGCACCTGCTTCTGCAGCCCGGGAGGGAGCGGACGCCCGCCTCTCCCCTTCCCTGCCCGCCCCATCTTCATGCGGTGTGTGTCCCGCTCCCCAGACGTGTCTCCCCACTTGAAAGCAAGAAACAAAAGGGACCTGCCTCGAGCATGCGTCGTGCATCCAGCTTGGGCATCTCCCCTGCCATTCCCACGCTCCCCGCACCGCTGGACCTTTGCCAGCCCTCTCGTGCTGTCCCACCAAGGACCTCAAAGTCATTCCTGACCGTGCTGCTCTCACCCCACACGGCCCTTCCTCCTCCTGGCCTGTGCAGCTGCTGGCGGAGGCGATCTTGCAAAGTGCCAATTTGTGATGGGCTGTCATGGGAAGGAGCCAAAAATGCTGAGACTCACCCTGCTTGCCAGCCTCCAGGTGCCCAGCTACCCTCCCTGGCAGGGGTGGGCATCTTCAGAAGCAGTTCAAACCTCCCAAGGGCTGAGCCAGATCTGGATGGTGCCTCTCCCTCACTGCTGACTGGAGAAATTAACCCTAGGATGATGCTAATTCTGGTGACTGAGCGTTATTGTGGTGATGCTCTACTGCAGCCATGTTTGCTGGTGAGGCGAAACAGCCC